ACTCATACGCACCTGTGCCGATGGATTGCTGGAAACTAGACCATATTGATGAAGCGAGCTTGCGGGTGCTGGAAGGTTGCGCTCGCCAGGACACTTCGTCGGCTCTCCTCGGCAGGAGGGGTCACCTTCCACTACGTCTGCCAATCTGGGCACGTCGGCTGAGACTCGACAGGATGAGAAGCGAGGCCGACAAAGAGAAGAACAAGACAATTAGACTCACTGCGCCGTTTTCCTGTTTACATTCACTCCGGTGCACTAGTAGAATATCATTATCATGAAGCGCGTACACAAACTTGCATACAGCTCTTCGCAAGTAGAGGCGAAAGCGCTACTTGGCTATCAAAGATTTCTACCGTTGCATTTGCCGTTGTTGTCGACACATGCCACTCCGAGCTCGCGTTCTCCCCGTTCTCATGGTCTGTCGAGGCATGCTTATCGCGATCATCACGAGTGATCTCTATGGGCGTTGCAGGTCGACGATGCCCGGATGGCACTCATGAGCGCAGGAGGAAAAGAGAGGGTTATGCGCGTCTTCGGACTCGCGTGGGCGCCGGTGGGCGCGTGTCGCGTGGGCGGTTTCGGATTGAGAAACACGCGACACTAGAGCGTTGAGACTATGTAGACAGGTTCAAAGACTCTTGAATCCGCCTAGAGTACGCTGAACAAACGAGTGTGATAGGTAGGATATATATACGAGGCAGGAGAGCCAAGGGATAACCGAGATATCAAAACTATGAGTAAGGACAGACAGAGGATGTGTGGTCCAAGTGATGAGAATGAGCAAGCAAAGACAGAGAGTAAGTAAGCAACACAAACCACACGAGCGGGATCAGATAGAGGATAGACGATAGAATGATAGGAGTAGGGATAGGCTCCAGCTCGGAAGGCCGGGCGCTGCCTATCCCCACTGTTACTGCAAACCATCTGCGCCGACCTCTATTGCGATGCTATGACGATGGGTCCGGTTGTCGCTGGTGAGTTTTCCGATAGCTCGTGCTTCTATTTGAAGTCTGCAGTATATAGTACATAGGGGTTCCTCGATTCCTTGGCAGCGGTTGAGTCACGTTACAAATGCGTCGCAAATCGCCCACTAAGTAATTTCGGTAGATGCAAACAGAGTGGACGACGCTGATGGTGTTGGGGCATGACGCGATGGTGATGACGAACGCGGGCCGTGCAGGTTTCCGTCAATACGCGGTCACGCACTTGATCAAATACCGACCGGGGTAGCCGCCTTACGTCGAAGACTACTGCCTACTGACTTATCTTTCTCCTGTCTTCTCCTGATAGGTTTCTGCGCTACATTTGCTTCCTTCACCTGAGCTGCGATGGGTGGGGCGCTCTCCCACTTTAGGCAGATAATATGGCCCATGTTGCAGCAAGCCTTTCCGCTCAAGACCGAATTCTCGCCAGAGGACATACCTGATCTCACCGGACGGATTGTCATAGTCACTGGTAATCCGTGTTGTTTTTGTCATGTGGATGGTCTTTGCCTCGATGCTGACGTTCTCTATAGGCGGTAACGTCGGTATCGGTTACGAAACTGTGAAGGTGTGTAATGTAATGCCGCTGGAGTACCCTGCGTTTCTAACCCGGACTGTCGGTCAGGCTCTCTTGCAGCACAACGCCAAGGTCTACCTCGCCGCCCGCAGCAAGAATAAGGCAGAGAAGGCCATCAATTCCCTGAAGGAGGCGACCGGCAAGGAAGCCATCTTCGTCGAGCTTGACCTCAGTAGTCTTTCTTCGGTCAAGAAGGCGGCCGAAGAGTTTTTGAGCAAGGAGTCAGAACTTCACATCCTCTTCAATAATGCGTGCGTTCTGTCTATTTCTTCCCGGGAGTGCGCTCCCCTCATATGGCTTTCAATCGCTCGCTAGCGGAGTCATGGTCCCACTAATCTAACAGGTGACCGCGGACGGGTACGACCTGCAATGGGGTACGAACGTCGTAGGCCACTACTACTTCACCGTGTTGCTTTTGCCCGCTCTCCTCGCCGGTGTCAAGTCGTCGCCAGATCATCACGCTCGCGTTGTTACGACGGCTTCCAGCGGCGCATATATGAGTACTTTACACTGGGAGACTTTCAAGGACTCACCCGAGAGGAAGAAGTTGTCGAGAGAAAACCTCTACTGGCAAAGCAAATTTGTGTGTGATTTCGCGTAAGCGTTCGGCCACGGCTTGGACTAACATGCGTGATCGAGACAGGGCAATGTGGTGTTTGCGCGGCAGCTTGCGAAACGATACGCTGAGCAGGGCATTATCTCTGTCTCCCTAAATCCTGGTCAGTGGTACTCCCATGCGTACTCTCATGCTTCCGGCTAACGAGCAGGGTCATAGGGAACATCCAGAGCGATCTGCAACGCCACCTTACCGGCCTGCAGAAGAAGCTTGTGGTACGTACCAACTTGTCTGACTGGCTTTGCTCGCATACGCTGACGGCAACATCAGAATGCGGTGCTGTATCCAACACCCCTTGGTGCGATCACACAGCTCTACGCCGGTACGATGCCGGAGGCTCTCAACCATAACGGCGAGGTACGTTCGAAGATTTTCCCTATCGAGTCCGCACTCATCAGCGTCCGTTAGTTCTTCATACCATGGGCGCGTATTGGAAGGTGCAGGGCGAAGGCATACGATGACGAGCTAGGAGACAAGCTGTGGAAATGGCTCGAGGACGAAGTCAAGACGCATCAAGCGTGATATCTGCACACGACGGTGCAGCAGTCATCGAGTCACCTTGTTCATCTGGGCGCCGACATGCCGGACACAAACTCTGGACCGCGGTCTTCTCCTGGTTCCCTCCTTCCTGGTCCTCCCAGGACCAGGAAGGAGGAACGGGGAAATCACGGTTTCCTGTACATTCTCGTGTCTGGCTTTAATGACTCGGCAAAGGCTCTTCAGCAACCCAGGACGTCCACAGTCCTGACCATCTTGGTCGGAACTCCACACGTACCTCTTGATAATGCTTCCGCATGTTATTCTATGAAGCACGCGATCGCATTCCGTAATCGAGTTATCGAAAGTAGAGTGTAACTTCGTATCAACGCAGCTAGAAGCATGCCACAGTGTACAGTGCTTAGACTTCATTGGCCTTCAGGCGGCGACTTCCAATTTACAGCTTCGTGATGAGCTCTGCATGAAGCGCCTTCAATTCATCCATCGACGGCTTCTGGGAGGGCCAGCCGATGACGAGACCCTCGGCGTCGCCCGGAGCGGGCTTGGGGATGACGTGGAAGTGTACGTGGTCAACTTCCTGGTGGGCGATGCGACCATTGTTCTATTTGCGCGAGTATGGTCAGTACCCATCTGTTCGGCTGATATCCCTGAGATAGGACGGACGGACCTGGAGGAGGTTGTAGTTCTCGGCTCCGAGTGCGAGGGCGATCTTCTTCGCCGCAGGAAGCACGTCCCCGAGGTACTCATCAGGGACCTCGTGGAACTTCTCGGCATGGTCTGTGAAAGGACGTAAGGATCATAGGCACGATAGCTGAGGTGGATATGACTCTACGACGCACACTTTGGAATGATCAAGGCGTGGCCCTTGGCGAGAGGTCCGATGTCGAGGAAGGAGAAGACTTTCTCCGTCTCGACGAGTTTATAGCTGGGGATCTCCCCTATTTTGGGAATAGAACGCGGTTGGGCTACTAGTTGTACGAACACCTCAGACACCGAATCATCGTTTCTCACCTTTGATGATCTTGCAGAAGATGCAAGTCGCCAACGACCTGACCATGTGCCTTCAGCTGTATCGTCCAAGCAGATGGTGCAATGTTTCGGCATACTTAGACGCCATACTGATCCTGGTCAAGAAGGTCAGGTAGATTTTGCAGAAGGCACTTCGAAAGGTAGTAGACAACGGGGGGTAGTAGTCCTACGCATTTCTTTGAGATCGGCGCTAGACTCACGTGGGCAGCCGTCCGTTCGGTGGCGCCCGCTCTGCGAAGTCGGTTCAGCCTTTCTCTGTCTGCTGTTCCTGAATCCTCTACTCCTTTATACTGTGACCTCAGTATACACTTGTCGAACACTCTGTCTGAGAAAACTTGCCACTATGTCTATGCAACAAGCGCAGACAGAGGGACTGTGCCTCAAATACCCAGAACCGCTAGGGCCACATCCTCAAATCACCCACGAAGCCGCGGTACACATGCTCCAACGCGCTATTCAGCTTTCCCAGCACACGCCATTCGCGTGGGGATACATCGACAAGCCCCTCGGTACGTGGAAACAGACGTATCTTCTTCCCAGTGGCTCCGCGACTTATCCTCGGGATCCGCGTCGGTCGCAGAGGGCTCGACCTTCCTCATCTTTCAAACCGCGCAGCTCCCCTTCCCGGTAGATGGGCTCGTATATCAAGATAGGGAGCAGAGATACAGCATTCCACTTGGAAACGGGCGGGTGAGTGACTATCATCAGTGTTCATGTTCATCACGCGCGTCTGGAAGCTCTGTTGTGACCGACTGACTGACTGACTGCAACAACTCGGTCGGGCGCGCGCTGGGCAGGAACTCGAAGTGACCGAAGTCAAGTTTGGGTTCATCCCTGGGGTCGACCAATCAGCACACCGCGTCCGGAGGCGGTTCAGGATGCAGAAGGGCGGCCATCCCCAGCTCGTCCTCGTCCACTACTCCAGCGGCCAGCACACTCGTGCGTCATTCCCTTTTCCCCTTCTCTTCATATGTCAATCTGGACAAATTGCATGCCAGCGATCATTCCTTCGCTCAATCAGCCCCCACGCAACTACCCGCTGCGCCCTGTGAACGAGCCTGCGATCTATGTCATGGGCGAGCGGCAGGGCCAGAAGGTTTTCCCTGGGGCGGGAGCCCCTGGATCGATCCCTATGACTCCTGTGAGCGACCGTCCCGCTATGAACTACCCGGGAATGCCGGCGATGGGGATGCCCCGCAACCCGCAAGGCATGCTCGCGCATCAAAACAGCCAGATGGAAGCGTTAGAGAGGAGAGCACAGCGCGAAAGAGGGATGAGCATGGGCCAGGTATGCTTCTTGTTGGCGCGTTGCGCGATGAAGGTGGCTGAGATTCCGCACAGCGACAAACAAGCCGCGTCGTGGATGACGACGACTCCGCAGGTACGCTCGTTGAAACGCTGACGTTGATGTTTTCTGAGTCTCACCCGACGTCTAGACGAGTCGGAGACTATCTCGACACGAACGCTCGCCCTGACGCGGTATCGCCGTAACCACGAGTTCATGAACGAAGTTTTCATGTACGCTGCATTTGGTGCGCATGCATTCACTTCATTTACGCGCCTTCCGCCTTAAATCTGCTATTGCAGGTGACAAGAAAGTCCCTCCACCGCCATCACCCTATTCAGCATTCAAGCTGCCAGATTTGGAGGATTCTGTGGTATGTTGCAGGCTCATTGATCATCCCTACATTTACTCATGATACGTATATTAGGCGAAACTGACTGTGGAAGTGGAGGAGCTCAGGAAAAAGTCCGCGGCACGAAAAGAGGCAGCGGCTGCCGGCGCGAGCGAGCTGCGAGACGTACCAATGGACGGTCTCGCTATCGCCGATGCCGCCGCGTAGAGCACTTTGTCTGGATCTTTGTATTGTAGTGTAATTCTTAGTCTGCTTTCGCGCGCTTTGATCTGTGTTGTTCTGATGTACGCTTCAGATTGTCTTACATTATGTGGTATGTTTCCACCCTTCAAGCTCCCCGCGGACGCGCTGACAAGATGGCTTGTCTGTGCAGTTCATACATCCATGGGTATACAACATTCTGGCAGCGGCCGACACCTGCGTGGTGATTTATGATATCCCAGGCGCCAGGTGTAAGCAGTGCTCAGGGTTCTCAGGAATTCCTTGCCTGCTCCGTGGGTACTCCGTGACGTACTTGAATCCTTATCGTCTGACTTCTGACCGCCCGCGCGAGACGCCAGAAGTCGACTAAGTTGGCAGCGATATCATCTTCCCAGGTTGACTGCGTCTGGTTCACACATCATAGTCCGCAAGGAGAACTATCCGGACCAACGAACCATACACAGGTCTAAGCGCAGCGAATATCTGACGTCGTCAACGTGCTTGCGTGCGAATATCCTATCAGCTGGTCTGGCAATCCTGATCAGCAGCTATCGCTCGGTCCATGGCTGAGGTACGCGTCCTGTATGTCCTTGTCGGCGCGACGTTTGTTCACATCCGCACTGCACCCCCAGGAAAGATGGCATCGACAATAGACAAGCGCGGGGGACGTCCGCGCGCTGCCCACGCTAAAGATGTCCTCCGTGTTCCCCTGTTCCCATAAATACGCGGCGGCCCAGCATGTTCGACGAAGTGCGACGAACCTCCAATACCTGGAGTTCGCAGCCCTCTCAGGGTCTCGTCAGCCCATCTCTTCCAGGACCGTAGCGCATCATGCGTCCCGCCTCACTGACCTGGGCGACACTCGTCCTCGCGTCCCTGGCGGCTGCAGCGCCCTCCATTAGCCGGCGTAACAACCTCGTCGTGCACGAGCGGCGCGCACAGGAGCCTCGCGACTGGGTGCTCACGCGGCGGCTCGAGCCGAGCGCGGTGCTCCCGATGCGCTTCGGGCTCACGCAGAGCAACCTGGACAAGGTCGAGGAGATGCTTATGGCGGTGTCCCACCCGGATTCGCCCACGTACGGGCAGCACTACTCGGTAAAGGAGGTCGTAGACACGTTTGCTCCCAGCGCGGAGACGGTCGAGCGTGTCGTGGAGTGGTTGACCGAGTCGGGGATTGACACAGAGAGGCTGAGGCTGAGTAAGAGCAAGGGGTGGATAGAGGTCGACACGACGGCCGAGGAGGCGGAGGCGCTGATTGATGCGGAATACCATGTGTATACGCACGTCGAGACGGGGGCGCAGCAGATCGGTGAGTTCCCGCTTCTCAGCTCTGCCGCGACAGGACATGATGCTCGATGCGTGACACGGGCGCTGACACGACATCTGTGTTGTGCATGTCCAGGCTGCCACTCGTACTCCGTGCCCGAGGACATCCGGGAGCACATCGACTTGATCAAGCCCACGGTGCACTTCCTGCACCGCGTGCCGACGCCGGACCAGGTGCAGACGGACAACCTGATGCGGAAGCGCTCGCTCGAACGGCCGTCGACGCACATCAAGCTAGGCTCGAAGGTGAAGGCGGACGGAACGAGCGTGAACTTGCCGCCCAGCTTAGAGAATTGCGACGAGATTATCACGCTAGACTGCTTGAGGGCGCTGTACTCGATTGATAGGAAGCCGACGGAGACGAAGAAGAATACATTTGGTATCCGTGAGTGATCATTTTGCAGCTCTGTCGACGATGGGTGGTTGATGGAGGGGCATTGTGCAGTTGAGTTTACGCCGCAGGCGTTCTTGCAGAGCGACTTAGATATGTTCTTCGCGTAAGTCCCACCCGAGAGCCGACCTGACGTCGTGACCACGCTGAAATCAATCTGCAGGAACTTCTCTCCCTCTCAAGTCGGCAAGAAGCCGACCCTTATCTCGATCGATGGAGGTGTCGACCAGACGAACATGACTGGGTTCGACTTCAACGGAGAGAGCGACCTCGATCTGCAATACGCGTTCGGCCTGACCGATCCTCAGCCGATCCTGCTTCTCCAGACTGGAGATCTCGTTGAGGGGGCATCGTTCAACAACTGGCTTGACGCTGTCGACGCGTCCTTTTGTACTTTCGAGGGCGGTGATGACCCCAATTTTGTGCGTCTCACGTCGACCAAGGCTTTATAGTGAGCGATGCTGACGCCAGTTCAGGATGGTATTTACCCGGACACGCTCCCTGGGGGATTTGACAGTAAGCGGCACGTGTTCTTATGATGCTCTTTTGGTCTCACAATCCGCCCTCATCAAGAACCCGAGTCCTGTGGTATTTTGAAGCCTCCGTTTGTTGTATCGACTTCTTACGGTTCGGACGAGGCTTCCGTTACCCGTGCATACGCACAACGCCAGTGCACCGAGTACGCCAAGCTCGGATTGCTAGGCACGACAGTACTCTACAGTTCTGGTGACAATGGCGTTGCCGGCAATGGCGGAGTTTGTCTCGATGGAAATGGTACTTCCCATCTCTCCAACATGCTCATGTATCTCCCTAATTCTTCCCTTCCCAAGGCAATCCCGTTACCAACGGCACCGGGATTCAGTTCAATCCCGACTTCCCGGTCACCTGCCCATTCGTCACGGGCGTCGGCGCGACGCAGGTCAATCCCGGGTCGACTGTCAACGACCCGGAGGGCGCATGTGAGCAGGTCATCTTCAGCGGAGGAGGTTTCAGCAACTTCTTCGAGATGCCCCAATACCAGGCAGCGGCGGTAAAGAGCTTCCTGACTAACCACCCACCTCCTTTCTCTGGGGAGCAATTCAACAACTCTGGAGTCGCTCGTGGTTTCCCCGACTTGTCTGCGAACGGGTAAGTGTCAGCACTAAGTTGATCTGGCTGGTTCTGACTTTAACATGGTCAGGGCGAACTACGTTGTAGGTAAGGATCGGCAGAGGTTTCTATTCCTTTGATCGTATAGGCGTAACAAACTTTCCTTGCAGCTGTTGCCGGTGAATTCGAGCTCGTCTTTGGGACCTCTTGTTCTTCTCCTGTCGTCGGTTCTATGATCACGTTGATCAATGACGCTCGTCTTGCTGCTGGAAAGGGCCCCGTCGGTGCGTGTCATACAGTTTGAGCAAATGAGCGCAGGTCTCACATTTGGCGCCACTAGGATTTATAAACCCTGCCGTAAGTTAGATATTGAAGTGCACTGCGACTCTTCTGAGAACCGGGTACAGATTTATACCGAAAAGTTCCAAGCTGCCTTCCACGATATTACAATGGGCGGTAACCAGGGTTGCGGTATGTGTTTCGACCCTGATCACTGCAATGGTATGGTTGCTGACACCAATGATCCGTCGCTAGGCACTCCTGGCTTTACTTCGTAGGTTTCCGTCCTTGTTGGATGAGCACATTCATGCTCACAATCGCCTCATCTAGCACCGAAGGATGGGACCCTGTCACTGGAGTAGGCACGCCCAACTTCAGCCGTCTTCTTCCTCTATTCTTGGAGCTTCCCTAAACAAACCGGCAAATATTACGCGTAAGCAACGATTTTGACGCAATGAAAGCGGTGATTGGCACAAGCATATGAGGTGGACCTTCATTAGATGACAGCGGGCATATGACGACGGAAGTTTAGGCTGATGGCTTCTCGAGAACAATTGATGTCCGAAACGGGTTGTATTCCCTCCTTGAAGAATCTGCCGGAACCATCTCCGTTTCCGGAGATATTCCCTGGTAAGTCCTCAGTAGCTCCATACCTGATGGATATAAGGGGGCCGTTACCATCGCACATTGTGCACTGAGAAGCCATACCTGTAAGATGCATCTCGCGTTCCAAACCCTTCTCGTGGTCTCTGCGTACTTTGTATCGACTATAGCGACGCCCATCATATGGGATGGGCGTGCATCCTTGAATTTGACTAATGCGGACCTTGACACGTCTACTGGCCCTCCTCACGTGAGTTCTTGTCCCATTACATCATGCGATGGGTCTGAGATCGGAGTAGCGTCGTAAAGGGATCCGAGAACGCATCGCAGGTAGGCAATATAATGCTAGCTGGATTATAGGCTGTGGACTGATCCCCCCCCCTTTAGTACTCTCAGCTGCTCGGCCAGTCCCTTCTCCCAACCCCGCTCTGGAACGGTGGGTCCAATAGCTCGGAGCAACAAGAGCAGGTGGTCTCTGTTTCCATCGACAACAGCTCCGTGTTCGTCCCGGGAGGAAGCAGTCCGCAGTATGGCTTCCGGCGCACCGATATCATCGCGGCCAACAATGGCGAGCACACGGACCTCATTACCCAGATGGAGACAGGAAAGACTATATTCCATGTCTCGATCCAGCAGGACGAGCAGCGTCCTCTGAACTACTCGCACGAGTACCAGATCGTCTTCATTGAGCCCAATGACGGCACTCATGTCTTCGAGATTCAACTTGGTACGTGACTCCACCCGCCCTGTTCTTTTCACGCGGCGTACTCACATCCTTATCAGGCTCTCCCTTCACCAATCCTACGGGTGATGTCCCCGTCTCGGATGCTCACTCGTTCAAAGTCCGCGATCATGCGCTCAACGTCCTCTTCACTACACCTTTCACTGCGAGCGTGTGGCACAACTTCGCAGTAGAAGTGGACTGGAACGCGCTCACGATCGCTGTGTGGTATTCTCAAGACGGCGAGCTCTTGCAGCAAGTCGTCCAGACCACGTCGAATCCGACCGCTTCCTCTGGCCCGAACGGACAAGGAGACTTTCACTTCACAGTCCTAAAGGTAAGGACGAGTCCGTTACACACGCTTGGAGCGTCTTCTTGAGTTGACACGGCTGTCAACTAGCTGCCTCTCGTGAATCCGGCGGATTCCCCGTCCAATCAGAACGATGTAGTCCACTACGGTATCCAGGAGGGAGCGACTGAGGCTCTACTGTACTCAGGTGTATTCGTGGAAAGTGCTGCTGATAATCTTAGCAGGGGTTTTGGCGTTGTACAGCAGCTTTGATTCTCCGATAAGTTCCAATTGAAATGAATCTCGCTTCTGTTATTCCTATTCCTGATGTGTGGCCGGCTGGTGCTCGAGCAGGTGAAGTCTGACTCTCGAGTATGGGTTTCGCGTGATAAGGTGTACAGTTGTCGTCTGTGGCAGCACCGTCGCAGATAGCTCATTCTGTGTGGCTGATCTCAACGAGAAGTACTGGGGTATGTATGGTATTTTCTGTAGTTAGCATACATTGGGAGACAGCCTTGAACGTTGAAGTCCCATACTACAAGAGCTGAGTCAAACCTAGCCTCATCCACCTACAGTGCTGGGATAGACGCTTGTTTCGGACGTTGTCCCGGGCGAGCATGCCCACCGCCGCCGAGGGGAGTCTCTCTTCCTCCTGCGCTCATGAGTGCCATCCGGGCATTGTCGACCTGCAACGCCCATAGAGATCACTCGTGATGATCGCTATAAGCATGCCTCGACAGACCATGAGAACGGGGAGAACGCGAGCTCGGAGTGGCATGTGTCGACAACAACGGCAAATGCAACGGTAGAAATCTTTGATAGCCAAGTAGCGCTTTCGCCTCTACTTCCGAAGAGCTGTATGCAAGTTTGTGTACGCGCTTCATGATAATGATATTCTACTAGTGCACCGGAGTGAATGTAAACAGGAAAACGGCGCAGTGAGTCTAATTGTCTTGTTCTTCTCTTTGTCGGCTTCGCTTCTCATCCTGTCGAGTCTCAGCCGACGTGCCCAGATTGGCAGACGTAGTGGAAGGTGACCCCTCCTGCCGAGGAGAGCCGACGAAGTGTCCTGGCGAGCGCAACCTTCCAGCACCCGCAAGCTCGCTTCATCAATATGGTCTAGTTTCCAGCAATCCATCGGCACAGGTGCGTATGAGTGCCTCAGCACTCGCGGAGC